TCCTGGCCACCACGACTGCCCTCTTCACCCTCTCAGAGCCTGGGAGTGCCCTGGAATGGGGGCTGCCCACAGAGACTTCGCCTGGAAGGGCTGGAGGGATGGCACATTGTGCCCCCCCCGCTACGGCTCGGCAGCGCGACAGCCTCCATTGCCAGCTTGAGCCGTGGCCGGGTGGCCCTGGGACGGGCAGGATTGAATGGTACCAGGCAGAGACCAGCCCCCAGGAAACCTCTGCTGACCATGGGCTGCTCAGCACGTCCCCTCTTCCCCCTTCAGAGCTGCAAAGTGGGGGGGCTGCAGAATCCCCCCCATGGCAGCCTGGGAAAGCCGTGTGGCTGATCACACACCAGCCTGCCCTCCAGCCTGCGCCACTGGCCTGCTGCATGCCTCAGTTTCCCCAACTCAAAAATGGCCATACTGGTGCTGGACCCAATGAAGGGCTCGATGCCACTATGCGAGAGTGAAGCAATCACCAAGCAACCGCCAGCCTTGAGGCACAGGGTGCACGTCTCGCACGGCGAGCTCGCACGTGCCTGGCCAAGGGCCAGCAGAGAAGTGGTACCCATGGAAAAACACATGCTCGCAGGCTGGGGTGCCCGGGGGGCTGGCGAAGCAGCAGGTTGGGAAACCTAACACCTCCTGGCTCTCCAGACTTCACAGTCTTCCCAAACAGTTGCAAGTTGTCTCAGACAGAAGGGGCTTAGCAGCACATTTTTCATTAAAACAAACTCTCTTCACATAAAAAAAACCCCCAATGAACATCTTTCTCCTCCTGATCATGGAAGGCCAATTAATTAATTGGGCTTAATTGTATATTGCATTTCAAACAATACTATTGTACTTATTTATCATGTTAATTACAATGTTAAATAAAAGAGACAATCAATTATTACTTAAATCGTCGGGGTGCATAACTGCTGGATTTGGCGCGGCGCGGGCTGGCCTGCTCATTGCATGGGACGAGTCATTCCTGAAATTAGTGAACGGAGCATTTATGCACCACCAGCCACGGGATATTTTCCATTGTGTTTCCATGGGCTCGTTGGCAGTTCCCACGTCGTGTGATGTGACTAATTACAGGTAACGGATTATGCGATTTTGAAATGGGATGCGGAGTATTTATGCGGCATGATTAACAGTTCCATACCTCTACTTCTAGAAACTTTTTTTCATAATCACCATTTTATATACATTTATTTGCATCCGATTTGAAGGCTGTGATGAAGAGCCCATCAATCCCTGGCTCTTAATTTTAATGTGCTTGCCAAAAATAAAATAAAATATACTCAACATCCTTTTAAACAGAATGCAGAAGCTGGCCTTCGCGTCCTTTCTATTTACATCGATTGCTTCTTATTTTAAAGATACATTCTTGTCAAGCGCATTTTTCTTTTGTTTGAAGCCATAAAAAATGTGACTGCCATAATCCACTGACATGCTTTCAGCAATGACGATGCCTTTCCTACCCTGCGCCTGATAGACGGATAGCTGCTCGTGACACCTGAAAGAGGCTCATCTGCAAAAGTACAGCACATCAGCTTTCCAGCCGGAGGAGACAGTTTATCTCCCCCGAACATGTGCTGATCGGATAGTTCTAAATTGCAGCCGACGCGGATCCCCTTTGCTAAATGACCTTCCCTGCACTCTGAAAAATGAAATTGCATTAGGTGTTCGCCTTCGTGGCTTGTCTCCGTGTGTTTCTTCCCAGATCTGGTCTACATATTATCTTACACACTGATATCGGACCTGAACCCATTTACCTCCCATCTGCACCCACATGCATCGGGGAGCTTAACCCATTTTCTCTGCAGCTGAAGGAAGCTTCACCAGCAGCATGCTTTACAACTGCGATGGGCAATAATTTTGAAGGGAGGGGCCACTCCAAGATTTTGGTAAGTGGGCAAGGGTGGCACTTTTCCATGGAGGGTGCAAGGTCTGATATCGGAGCTGTTCTGCCTTTAGATTGTTAGACCCAAACATTGCAATGCTCAGAACTCAGCGCTGTGGTAAGTGTCATGGAGACACCACATGGGCTAAGCTGTGCTCAAGATCCAGCCAGGCTCCCTGCTGAGCTAGAGAAGCAACTGATGTCTGACAGTATGAAACATCCAGCAGACAGACCTACAGAGCCCCGCGAATCCGCGGAGATCCACTTTATCTCCGCGGGGATCCGCATCCATAGCTGTGGCTTTATATCCGCAGAGATCCGCTTTATATCCGCAGGGATCCACATCCGTGGCTGTGGCTTTATACCTGCAGGGATCCGCATCCATGGCTGTGGCTAACCACAGCTCATTTTTGCGGCTTTGGGTGCAGATGCAGATACAAATTTTGTATCTGCGCAGGGCTCTACAGCCTTAGCCGCATACTCTAGGCTACCACATCTGGGGGCTACGTATCCGTCTCTATGTTTTATTTTACACGGGATTATGTTAGATCTTATCAAAAAACCTTTCCCCATGAAAAGCATGAAAAAGAAAAGAAATCAAATCCGTTGACAGAGCCAGTCAGGTACGGGCTTCCCAAGTGGAGCTCCCCATTTCCTTTGGGTTTGGGACAAGAGCATGAGCCAGACTAGCCCTTCACCAGCCGGGGGGCTCCAGGCTTTTCAAACCCACTTCCCTTGTTCTGGGCACGGTAGCTCTTCCTCTGCCACACGCAGCTCTCAGCTCGTCAGCAAATCTGCAACCCCAATTCTTTTCCCATTTGTTTCTCCTTTCCCATCCCCTCTCTTTCTCTGCTGTTGATTTGGAACCTGGGCCCCTTACACTCCACTCATCGGAAGAAGTGGCTTCTGCCCACGAAAGCTCACGATCCCATCTCCATGTTCTGTTGGTCTCTACGGTGCTGCAGGACCATTCGCTGTTTTTAACCCCAATGTCTTTCTCTGCCTCTAGTCTGCCAACAGAGCTGAAGGAACCCTGAGGATTAGTAGGAACAGCCTCTGAATCGTGTTGATCGACAGCCGTCACTCCTCTTACTGCACACGTCACTGCCTTCTGCTCATGGGCCCCACTGCACACCCCTGGCCGCACACAGCAGCACCTTGCGGGCGGAGAAGCCAGCAGGGCGGAGGCTCAGAGAACAATGATGGGGAACTGAGAACCTGACACGTCTTCCTACAGACACCTCCAGGGTGACGCCTTCCTTCATTTAGGAAGCTTTCCGAGCACACAGGGCAACCACAGCGAGTTCTGGCTCATTTTCACACCTGATCAGAAATGGTGGAGTGACACGTCTGTTGCTTCCTTACCCTAGTAGCTGTATCTTGCCCTACACACCAACATCTACTGCCCCGCTCAATGTGCCTGATGCACACTCTAAAGCGACTGTGTGCTGGGGGGAGGGGGTTGAATAAAGACACACCGGGATTGAGAACTGGATTCCCTTTGGCCTTATTTATGATGTAATGTCATTGTCTGTGCCTTGGATTTCTTCTGCTGTATCCAAAGTCAATTGCGGACAACTACTCAATGTAGAGTTGGGTGTCTTTTCTAAACCAGGTTCCTACTTAAATCTACCAGAAAGCCACAGCTCCACCGGAGACCTGGAAACCAAATCTCAAATTGTGTCTTAATTATAAAGCTGATCCAGAGGTTATGTCGCTAATAACGCCAAGTCCAGAGCTGCCATCATTAATACTTAACACATGCACCTCAGGCATTGCGCCTTTCCATTTATAATGACTTGAAATATTGATAAGCGGAGCTGATTGGAGCTAGAGGGAGCTGGCATCTCAGCTTCACTGGCAGGAGACAGACTCGCTGTAAAATGGAGAAACTAGCGTCACACTCCCTCTCTGGAGAGCCAAGCCCCAGCCTTCCCCAAAACACAGGGCCCAGCCCTGCTGAGGGAGGGTTCTGGTGCTTGACCGAACGTACAGGTCCTAGAAATGCCTGGCGTCACTTTTCCTCTTGGAGTGGCGGGTGCGCAAAAGGAAAGTAAGGCCCCTGCGGGACAGTGTGCGGGGCTGGACAGTCCTGGCCCCAGGCAGGAAGCCGCGTCCACACACGGCAGACGGGCTTGTGTCTGGTTCTGAGGCAGGCGGCTCTCCTTCTGCTTCACTATTTCATTGCAGTGACGTTGCCGATACGCCGCCGGATTGAGAGAAGAGAATCGTTTTGTCTAAGAGGCTTTGCTGCAATGCAGCAATAATTGTCACTGTACTGTTGTAGAAACGGTGGAGTCTGATTGGGTTACAGAAAACACTTCTCAAAGGCTTCAGCCAATCAGAGACAAGCTGATCCATAAAACTACCTATAGATTTGTCAATACACTGGCCTTGCGCTGAATGAATGTTACGTTTCAGTGAATGGCGGGCTGGCAGCGGGAGCTGAATGGCATGTCCGGATTGCACGAGGGAGCTGGATAGCGGGTCACTTGCAGTCATGGCGTCTATTGACTCTACTGCGCCCTAAAGTAAGCCGAGCCCTCCGTGGGCCCAAACGAGAGACGTGTGCCCTGCCCCAGGGAACCTGCGTTCACCTTTCCCACCTACCTGCAACCTTGTACGAGCCTGTTCCGTTAACTTGGGTGTTCCCAAAAGCCGGTCCAGGGCAGGGGCGCCCGAATTGCCCTGGCGGCTTTCCGCAGCCATTGCAACGCATCTTCCACTGTAGCTAGGACAAGAAAGGCGCAGCCTGGCGCACCGGTGGGCCCGTGCCCAGAAGAGCCAGGCACCGATGGACAGAGAGCACCTGCCTTTTCCCACTGAATTCTCGGCGCTGGAACTCTCGCGCCTCAGCAAGGAACAGCGTCCGTGGGAGCCCGCAGACACCGACCAGAGCCAGGCAGCCTCCGCGCTTGCTGCTTCCCACCCCTCTGCAAAGGGAACCCCGCCCCTGCCCAGGAGCAGCGCTCGGGAGACGGGGCGTATGGCCAAAAGCAGGCTAGCCACAGGGGCTGAAGTGCCTGCTTGGTGTCTGTCGGATTCTCCCGCCTTCGCAGGGCTTAGCCCAGCCAGGCAAGGGGTGGCGCTGGCCGCACCACTCTCCTCTTACCTGTGATACTGTGATGCTGCATTTCTTTGCCAGCTCCTCTTTGGCTTCTTCACTGGGGTAGGGATTACTGAGGTGGGAGTAAAAATACTCGTTCAAGATTTCTGTGGCTTGTTTGCTGAAGTTACGCCTTTTCCGCCTGCAAGGAGAGAAACCCATTGCTGGCACCGAGGGGGACAAGTGCACAGGAGGCTCTGAGGAGAAAACCTCTGTTACTTCCGAAACACATGCCAGGCTGCATGCAGCACACACGCTGCATCTGCCAGCACCTTACACCACACACGCTGGCCCTGGCCTTCCCCAGCCCGCCGGGGCAGCTTGGCCACTGACTCCCACGGCAACATGCTCTGAGCCGTTCACGCTGAGGCGGTTGCAGCCCTGCCAGGGATGGCGGTTCTCAGACGGTAACTCGGTCACTCGCATCACCCAGCACGGCTCTGACTGCAGCACTTCGGCCTCAGCTGGGCCTGCCCAGTTTGGGGCACCCCGCACTGCAGCGGTAGGTGCTGTGGCAACAAGTGACAGGAGGAAAAGCGAGACAGCTGGGCAGTGCTGAGCCTGCGGGACAGGGACGGGCTCACAGGCAGGGGCCAACCTGCTTCTCAGACCTGAAACTGGATGTGATCGGCCGGGAGTGGCCGGCTCCTGGCAGCAAACCCCTCACCAAGGACTGCAGGAAGGTGAGGGCCCTTCCCCGGGCGTGCGCGGGGAGCTTGGGGCGAAGGGGTTGGGAGGTGCATGGCCGTGTGACGGGACAGTCGGTGCAGCCCACAAAGGCGTGGCCCTGGGGTGCCACCTCGCAGAAGAGGAGCTGTCTGCCTGGCACCAGCGGCCGTAGTGTGCAGCACAGCCTGCCGGACTCCAGCACGGCTCCTCTCCCTCCCGAAGGGCCCGGGCCCAGAAGGCAGAGAGATCTGTCCTTCCACGTGCCGCCCCAGCACCCCGCCAGCCTGTCCGGCGACCCAGGGGCCGTGGGCGAGGCGAGCGGAGAGCAGGACATCGGCCTGGCCTTCACCCCCCAGCAAAGAGGCCCCGTGCTCCCTTCCCAGTGATACCCGGGGGCTGGGGATCCAAACCCCATTTGCACAGCTGCAGAGGGCTTCCCCCTCCGCCCCGCACAGGGATTTCCCCCCGGGCCCTCGGATCCTTGTCTTCCGGCGACCCAGGGGCCGTGGGCGAGGCGAGCGGAGAGCAGGACATCGGCCTGGCCTTCACCCCCCAGCAAAGAGGCCCCGTGCTCCCTTCCCAGTGATACCCGGGGGCTGGGGATCCAAACCCCATTTGCACAGCTGCAGAGGGCTTCCCCCTCCGCCCCGCACAGGGATTTCCCCCCGGGCCCTCGGATCCTTGTCTCCAGCG